AGAAAGAGCCAAAATCAACACTTTAAACAAACATCTCCAACAATTAGAGAAAGAACAGCAAGAAAAGCCCACAGTCACCAGAAGGAAGGAAATAAAATTGTGGTTGGGCAGAAGTTTACAGAGCAAACTAGTTTTCCATTCAACAATTCATACACATTTTGTTTCATGATGGTGATTGCAATCCCCACAGTGTATCAGCATTCTTCCCATTTTTCCTTGTATTTCCATTTGTTATCCTTCTTCCCTGCCCCTTCCTGCCTGGGCAAATGCTGCCCTTTTGGTCTCCCACGGTTAATGTTCTAAGAAGTGCGTTTTTCCTTGGTGTTATTGTTCACCTTCTAGGCCTATCTGTTGTTTGACTGAAAGTCGATCCACAGGTATGAGTTCACTTCCAGGCTCAAGGGGTGTCTAAGGTCCTCGGGGGTTCCACCAGTTGGGCTGCCACATTTCTTGCTTTCTTGTTCTTTTCACTTAAGCAAGCAATTTTGTGTTTTCACACAGGCCTTGGTTATCAAAATGCCACCTTCTATTTTGCCATTTAGTCATGTAGGGTTTTAGTTCAAGAACCCGGTCTTTTTGTCCAGGTCATGTGTTTTTCCTAGATATAAAGTGTGTTTTAAGATAATAAGGCTTCCCATAGTTTTTAGCAACTTAGTTGTTTGTGCATTTGTAATTTTTTCTCCACGGGACTCTCTTTCTGGGTTCTGGAAACTGCTCGCTCCCTGTCCCTTCTGGCCTAGGAGTGACAATCGCTGTTACCAGCCCTGAGTATGGCACCATCCTCTGTGGTTTCCCTACATGCTGACCCATACCTCTGTAGATGGTTGTGGTGTGCTATCGAGTTGATTCTGACTCATAGGGACCCTGTAAGTCTTTTTTCCTGTGGAGCAGCTAGTGGGTTCAAACCACTGACCTTTTGATTAGTAGCCAAACCCTTAACTGTTGTGCTTTGGGAATGAAAACTAACATTTATTAACCAGTTTTTTTTCAGGTACTCTTTGAGACACTCTTACATGTTTTATTTAATTCTACTGATAACCCTATGGATTACTGTCTATAGTTGTTTCAGGAGGAGCAGTTGAGATTCAAGGAGATTAGGTAATCTGCCTAAGGCCAGTCAGCTCATAAGTGACAAAAGTGGAATTTAAACACTAGTTAAGCACCTGGCTTAATGTTCTATACATTATCTTGTCTGTCACACTCAAAGGCAATTAATTCAATTTTGCCATGTAATATCAACTATAGGAGCCCTGGTGGCACAGTGGTTAAAGCGTTTGGCTGCCAACTGAACCCACCAGCTGCTCTGTGGAAGAAAGTGTGGCAGTCTGCTTCCGTAAAGATGTACAGCCTTGGGAAACCCTGGGGGGGGGCAGTTCTACTCTGTCCTGTAGGGTCACATGAGTTGGAATCAACTTCATAGCAGTGAATTGTTGTTGTTGTTGTTGTTATGTGCCATCGACCCGACTCATAGTGACTCCTCCTTGGGTTTCCAAGGTGGTATCACTACAGAAGTAGATTGCCCAACCCTCCTTCCGAGGAGTAGCAGTGTGTAGGTAATATCAACATAAAAGGGGGTAAAAATCCTTTAATGAGTCCCAGTTACTGACAGAACAAAGTCTAAATTTCTTATCTGTAGCACAATTCTCCTTATCGTTCATTCAACTAATATTTATTGAATATCTACTATGTGTCAGGCTTTATTTAAGTACTGGAGATATAGCAGTGTCAAAACAGACAAAACCTCTGCTTTCATGGACTTTATATTATATAAGAGACAGACAAACAAACAAATAAAGTATATAGTTTATCAGGTAGTGATAAATATTTTGGAGAAAAATAAAGCGAGGAAAGGTGATGAGGAGTATTGGGGGTTTGTAATTTTAAGTAAGGAAGGTTAGGGAAGTTCTCACTGAGAAGGTGACTTCTGAGCAAAAACTTGAAAGAGCTGTGTGAGGGAGCCACATGGATATCTGGGGCTAGAGTTTCCTCCAGAAACTCTAGGTAGGCAGGTAGCAAAAACCCTGAGGCAGGAGCTTGTCAGATGTGTTTGAAGAATAGCAGAGGCCAGTGTGGTAAAAGCCTAGTGAGGTAACCAAAACCAAACAGAACCTATTGCCAATGAGTTGATTCTGACTCACAGAAACCCCCATGGGGTTTCCAAGGCTTTACAGGAATAGATCACCTCATCTTCCTCCTGGGGGGCAGATGATGCGTTTGAACCACCGACCTTCTGGTTAGCAGCCAAATGACTTACCCACAGCACCACCAGAGCTCCTAGTGAGGTAAACCTTGCTGTCAAGTCAATTGCAACTCATAGAGACCCCTCCTTGGGTTTTCTATGGAAGTAGATTGCCAACCTTCCTTCCGAGGAGTGGCTGGTGGGTTTGAACCACCAGCCTTCTGGTTAGCAGTCAAATGCCTTAGGCATTATGCCACCAGAGCTCCTCCTAGTGAGGTAAAGGGGTAGATATTATGTAGGAAATGACACAGCACAGTAACAAATGAATTCTTTTGAATAAAAATAAGATTACATAAGCCAGGGTATTTCTGCCTTCCTGTAGGAGATCCTGTTTTAAAAAGAGAGACAGAGGGAGGGAAAGGCTTAATGTAACCCAAAGTTAGAAATTCAACTTGGAGTCATGGTGGGGATTTTTCTTCTGAGTGAGATGGAGCTATTAGAGGGTTCTGAGTACAAGAGCCACCTTTCAACAGTGGCACCAAGGCTGCTATGTTGAAAATAGACTGCAGGGGGTGGGCAGGGGCAGAAGCAAGGTGAGCTATTTATTCTGATATAATATGGAGCCTCCTTTACTGATGTTCTCACATGCACAATGGCTTTTACTTATCAATACTAGCATTATCTGCCATCAGGTGTATCCGGATTCATGGTGACCCATGAGCCATGACCCATGAGCGTCAGCGTAGAACTGTACTCTATAGGGTTCTCAATGGCTGAATTTTTCGGAAGTCGATCACCAGGTGCCTCTGGGTGGATGGGAACCACCAACCTTCTGGTTCGCAGCCAGGCGTGTTAACTGTTTGCACCATCCATGGACTCCAGAGTTTATTTAATTGCTCCAAAAACCTGCTGTCGTCTCCATCTTTGCTCGTATTTACCTTGCTTTGTCAACCATCTAAATCTTATCCATTCTTCCAGTTCAGAACCAAACTTTGCTTCTTTGAGGGGACTAGAAAAGTGCTCTGGGAAGCCAGAGAAAAGTTATCAGGCTTGAAATGTTTGTCCCAGTTTGCTAATGATCAAAATAGGAAAACAGGTGTGGTGGTTAACGTTTGTGTGTCAACTTGGCTGGGTCTGGTTTAGTGGCTGGGCAGCTGGTGGTAGTTATTCCCCATGATGAGACTGACAATCAACTCCATGGTGGGATTTACCACAAGCAGCTGAGTAGCTGCCTTTGGGATGTGGTCTGCTTTCTGTGTATAAGGAGAAGCCTTGGGAATGGTCTCTAGCCTTTGGCACGCTTGGACCCTGCATGTAGCCGTGTCATTGCTCAGCAGCCTGCTATACTCTGCCAACCTTGGGATTACAATGGACTTAAGTTAATGGCCTGCTATGTGGGTTGGTAACATTGGGACTGTGCCTTTTTACTTGTCAACCTTGGGTTTGTCAGCCTCA